GGAAAGCAGTGTTCAGCTGGGGCCTCTGTAAGACCTGAGTCTCCAGCAGCCAGTCGCCATTGGACCTCCAGGCTCCCAGAGAAGGATCCTGTGCAGAACACTCGGACCTGGACATTTCCCACCAAGGGTCCAGCCTGGAGTCAAATACTTAATCCCATTTTCACAAATAGCAAGGCAATAAGAAAATCAGAGATACCAAGGGAACATTTCATGCAAAGAGGGGCACAATAAAGGACAGAAATGGTATGGACCTAACAGAAGCAGAAGATATTAAGAAGAGGCAGCAAGAATGCAGAGAACTATACAAAAAAGATCTTCATGATGCAGATAACCACGATGGTGTGATCACTCACCTAGAGCCAGACGTCCTGGTATGTGAAGTCAAGTGGACCTTAGGAAGCATCACTACAAACAAAGCTAGTGGAGATGATGGAATTCCAGTTAAGCTATTTCAAATCCTAAAAGGTGATACTGTGAAAGTGCTACACTCAATATGCCAGCAAATTTGGAAAACTCAGCAGTGGCCACAGGACTGGAAAAGGTCAGTTTTCATTTCAATCCCAAAGAAAGGCAATGCCAAAGAATGCTCAAACGACTGCACAGTTGCATTCATCTCACATGCTAGGAAAGTAATGCTCAAAATTCTCCAAGCCAGGCTTCAACAGTACATGAACTGTGAACTTCCAGATGTTCAAGCTGGATTTAGAAAAGGCAGAGGAACCAGAGATCAAATTACCAACATCCACTGGATCATCAAAAAAGCGAGAGTTCCAGAAAAACATCTACTTCTGCTTTATTGACTTTGCCAAAGCCTTTGACTGTGTGGATCACAACAAACTGTGGAAAATTCTGAAAGAGATGGAAATACCAGACCACATGACCTGCTTCCTGAGAAATCTGTATGCAGGTCTAGAAGCAACAGTTAGAACTGGACATGGAACAACAGACTAGTTTCAAATCGGGAAAGAAGTATGCCAAGGGTGTATATTGACACCCTGCTTATTTAATTTATATGTAGAGTACATCATGAGAAATGCTGGGCTGGAAGAATCACGAGCTGGAATCAAAATTGCCAGGAGAAATATCAATAACCTCAGATATGCAGATGACACCAGCCTTATGGCAGAAAGTGAAGAAGAACTAAAGAGCCTCTTGATGAAAGTGAAAGAGGAGAGTGAAAAATTTGGCTTAAAACTCAACATTCAGAAAACTAAGATCATGGCATCTGATCCCATCATTTCATGGCCAATAGATGGGGAAACAATGGAAACAGTGCCAGACTATATTTGGGGGTTACAAAATCACTGCAGATGGAGCCATGAAATTAAACGATGCTTGCTCCTTGGAAGGAAAGCTATGAGCAGCCTAGACAGCATATTAAAAAGCAGAGACATTATTTTGCCAACAAAGTTCTGTCTAGTCAAAGCTATGGTTTTTCCAGTAGTCATGTATGGGTGTGAGTTGGACTATAAAGAAAGCTGAGTGCTGAAGAATTGATGCTGTTGAACTGTGGTGTTGGAGAAGACTCTTGAGAGTCCCTTGGACTGCAAGGAGATCCAACCAGTCCATCCTAAAGGAAATCAGTCCTAAATGTTCATTGGAAGGACTGATGTTGAAGCTGAAACTCCAAAACTTTGGCCACCTGATGTGAAGAACTGACTCATTGGAAAAGACCCTGATGCTGGGAAAGATTGAAGGCAGGAGGATGAGATGGTTGGATGGCATCACCGACTCAATGGACATGAGTGTGGGTAAGCTCTGGGAGTTGGTGATGGTCAGAAAGCCTGGCGTGCTGCAGTCCATGGGGCTGCAAAGAGTTGGGCATGACTGAGCAACTGAACTGACTACAGGTACTGAAAACGGGTCATTGGGATTTGCAAAATGCACACACCGTCTCATTTGACCAATTTTCCATTTTAACAGATTGTACTCGATTTTAACAGATTTCACTCTTACATGTGCCAGGTGTGGTATATATGAAGGCGGAGCCCCTGCCCTCGGATTACCGTCACACACCAACGGCCTGTGTCCCCTAGGGCCCACTCAGGTAGGTATTCGTATTCATCTTTTGCCCACTGGAAGGTTGAAGAAATGCTAACTCAAGGAAATTAAGTAGGAGCCAAGGCCACAGAGCCAGCAAAGGAAAAGTTCATACCTGGGAACCATTCATTCGAAACCACAGCCTGCAGGCTCCATAGCCCCTTTGGTGGGGGCGGGGGGGGGGGGTGGGAGAGGGTAGGGTCTCAAGGGGCCTTTGCTTCCTGTCTGTGTCGCCTATAAATGGGCATTCCAATCATTTCTCTTCTCCAGCGAGTTGTGTTGACTCTTGCTTTTATCAAAGGTCACAGTCATCCAGAGGAGAAAATCATCAACCCCCAGCTCCCCAGTTCCTGGGCCTTTCATCTTATTCCCAGCTCCTGGACTTGAAGAATTGACTGGCTCTTCCTGCTGTTGTTGTGTTGGTCGCTCAGGCGTGTCCAGCTCTTTGAGACCCCATGGACTGTAGCCTGCCAGGCTCCTCTGTCCATGGGACTCTCCCAGCAAGAATATTGAAGTGAGTTGCCATGCCCTTCTCCAGGGGATCTTCCCAACCCCTAGGAATCGAACAGGGGTTTCCTGCATTGTAGGTGGATTGGTCACCAGCTGAGCTACCAGGGAAGCCCAGGCTCCTCCTACCTCCATCTAAACCTTCTAACCTCCAGCCCTTGCCAGCCATCTAGAAACTGCCGGAAGTCTGGGGCTGCAGTTTCTTGGCCATGCCCACTGGGAATGCAGGAAGCGAGCCCTCTGCTGGCCCCCCAGCAGCCAGCCCCCAGCCTCACCTCTCCCGCAGGGTCCTGTTCTCAACCCTGCCCTCCTCTCATGGCCTGGGCTTTCCCCTCCCTGCCACACCCCCTCTCCTCACTCCAGCCCCCCAAAGAAGCGCAGGTTGGTGTTTGCAAAGAGCTTTGAGGGGAAAAAGAGCCAAGTGCTTCCCCTCCACTGAAAGGAAACAATTTTAATTGAAAAATGAAATCACAGATTACATGCAAATCTTTGTTGGCAAATTTCAGTTACCACCAAATTAAAGCTAAGCTAAGCTAAGCAACTTCAGGACACTCCATTTAATGTTTTCCCCAGGGCGTGTCCATAGCAATGAGAGGTGGCCTGTAGGTGTCTTTGGGCAGAAGGAGTTCACAGAAAGAATCCAGGGGGGTTGGACTCTACCTTCTTGGGACCTCCACATACAGACATTAACCAACATTTTATTTTATCTTGTTTGGGAAGCAGTCAAGCAGGGCAGGAAGAGAGGAGTTCTGGCCAGTTTTACCATTCAGTTTCCGGCCTTTCAGAAAATCAGGCATCAGCAAAGGAAAATGCGGAAAATATTCTAGTAGCGACAATATTAAAAATTAAGCCCCCAAAGTACCTCATCTTTTCCTCTTAATTTATGAATGAGAACACTGAGGCTCAGCGCGTCCCTTGATCAAGCTGGCACAGGACACAGGTTACGTCAGGCCCAGGACAGGATTTTGTTCCCAGATAGTCTCGGTTCAGTTCAGTTCAGTCTCTCAGTCGTGTCCGACTCTTTGCGACCCCATGGACTGCAGCATGCCAGGTTTCCCTGTCCATCACCAACTCCCAGAGCTTATTCAAACTCATGTCCGTCAAGTCGGTGATGCCATCCAACCATCTCATCCTCTGTCATCCCCTTCTCCTCCCACCTTCAATCTTTCTCAGCATCAGGATCTTTTCAAATGAGTCAACTCTTCACATCGGGTGGCCAAAGGACTGGAGTTTCAGCTTCAGCATCAGTCCTTCCAATGAATAGTCAGGACAGATTTCCTTTAGGATGGACTAGTTGGATCTCCTTGCAGTCCAAGGAACTCTGAAGAGTCTTTTCCAACAGATGGTCTAGTTGACCTTAAAAAGTGGCTCAGTCAGTAAAGCATCTGCCTACAGTGTGGGAGACCCAAGTTTGATCCCCAGGTCAAGAAGATCTCCTGGAGAAAGGAATGGCACCCCACTCCAATATTCTTGACTGGAGAATCCCAGGGACAGAGGAGTCTGGCAGGCTACAGTCCATGGGGTTGCAAAAGAGTCAGACTCGACTGAGCTTCAAGAAGCTTCCCTTTGCTTCAAGAAGAGTCCCCTCTTCTGGGCCCTGAGGATGAGGGGCCCAATGCTGTGTATTGTTTTCTGCTCATCATCTGCTTCCTATCGGTGGCTGTGTCGGGGGCTTCACCTGCTGCCACATTCCATCATGTACACCCAATGTGCATGTGCCAGGCACCCACCGAATGCAGAAAGCCCCCAGAGGATTGCATCCTGTGTCCCTGTGAGAGTGGGAGCTGCCATCACGCTGCCTGAGAGGCTGTAAAACACTCTCTCCAAGCAGACCATGAGGGCATGAAGAAAAGAAAGGCCATCTTTAATCTGCGCCTCTACCTCGAGGTCAACTGGCTTGAGAAACTCCCTTAAGGTATATTCATGGAAGCAATCCACATTGGCAAGTGAACACTCACATCACAGTCGTTTTGCTCAGAGAAAGTAGGAATATCCATGGGACATTTACCCTGAGTTAGGAGGAGATGCTTCTAGGTGTCATTTGTCCAAGCGGGAAATTTCTTATCACGAGATTATTGCCATGTTGGCCAACATCCAAATGGCTAGAAGACGTGAAGGATGATTCAATTAAGCTACAGTTGCGTCCAGCACAGGAACCTGCCTGGTCCTGGTGCACCCTTGCTCTCATCTGGGGTCAGACTCCAGGGCCTTCTGCACACCTGGGATGGGGGGTGGGTACAGAGTCCCTGACGTTCCGCACCGTTCCTAGGCTGGGGACAGTTCTGTGAGTCGGAACAGCCACCCTATGCAGGGCCACCAATCTGAGGCTGGTGAGAAAAGCCAGGGAGAGTGTGACAGGTCTGGGCTTGCGGGGAGGGGAGACAGTCCCCCCCTCCACCGGGCCTGGGGCCCCAGCGAGGGCGGCTCTCTCTCCAACTCCGCCTCCGCAGAGCATGTGGGTTCTGGCCTTATCTGCCAGATGGCTCCCGGAGGGGGATGATTTATTAGGTGCAGAAAGCTCGCTGATAAATTTTACTGCAAGTCCCCATCAGAAGACTGGGGGTAGCAACAGCCCAGCGCAGGCAGCTCTAATGGAAAGTGCCGTCACCAAAGAGCAAAGCATTATTTATGACTGTCTGTAATGCCGTTTGGGGGAAATTCATCATCGCCTCCCCGCTCCATGCACACGGGGACAGCGGCGCTGGGGGGAGGGGGAGCCCAGGACAGGTGGGGAGCTTTTCTGGGAACCTGCCAGTGGAAAGCAAGGCCATGCTCCCCCTAGGTGACCTGGCCCCCCTTGCCAAGCGCTGACCTACAAAGTGCCTCCCCGTAGCCCTTCCCTACCCTTAGCCCCAAATCTCACTCCCCTCCTCCCACTGAAATGGAGAGAAGAGAGAAAAAGAATGACATTTTCTCATTCTCTGTGTGGCCTGCAAATTCTTACCCATCTGCATGGTTCAGGGCCATCCCTTTCAAAAGCAGAGGCTTAAACCAATTGACCAATGTCATCCCCGTCGAGCTCCAAGCAAAAAAAAAAAAAAAAAGGAATGTTCTGCCATTTTGCAAAACTGCTCAAGAAGTCACACTTAGGCAAGACAGTGACCAGCTAAGGTCACTCAGCAGTCCGGGCCAAGGAGCTCAGAGGCTGGAGTCTCGGGCGACCCTGACACATTTGCCTTAAGACACACACGGCGTAGCCCTGTGGCCTCTCCACCCATGGGTCCTGGGCGCTCAGCTGGATGGAGGCATCTGGGGGCTGTCGCATCCTAGCCCAGCCCCTCCCACCATGTCAGCTAGTGAGCCAACCAGCCCCGTTCTGCTTTTCAGTACATATATAATACAGTTTGTTGCTGTTGTGGTTCAGTCACTAAGTCATGTCTAACTCTTTGTGACCCCATGGACTGTAGCCCGCCAGGCTCCTCTGTCCATGGGATTCTCCAGTCAAGAATATGGAGTGGGTTACCATTTCTGTCACCAGGGGATCTTCCCGACCCAGGGACAGAACCCGCACCTCCTGCCTTTGGCCAGCGGATTCTTTACCTCTGAGCCACCAGGGAAGCATAGCGTGTAGTACTCATGGATTGCCAGCTCCTTATATTTGAATTATTTATGTCTAAGTCTGTCTCTGTGATCAAATTAAATGCTCCTTGAGGGCAGGGCCCTGTATCCTATTCATTTTTATATCCATCTCAGCAGTACACAGAGCCCCTGGCACATGGTAAACCTTGATAAATGCTTGATAATAAAATGACCCTGGCAGACTTCAGATCTCCTGGGATCTCGTGTTCTTATGCGTCTGTCATCAGGCTGGTATTCATAGCCTTTCAAAGCAGCTCGTCCCCACCCTCGCATCCATCAGCACGGCATCATGGAAAGAGCACTGGATTAGGAGTCAGGAGGGACGGGTTCTGGCGGGCAACGATCCCAAACATTCTTTGAGTACATAACTCAGGCCAAGTCAGATTTCACCATTAGCCCAGCGATTAAATGGGAGCAGCTCGGCTTACTTCTGCACGCCCTGGCGTGCCGGAGGAGGAAAAGGAATAACAGAGTCTAACACACAGGTCGTCTATGAGAATGTGAGAATGAAGGGGAGTAGGAGATCTGAGTTCCAGGAAGGGAGGGAACAACCTGTATCGGATGGTTCTCTATGCCAAGAACCACGCTCAGGTGCTTTGTTTTGTTGTTGTTTTAGGTATTTACTTACTTGGCTGCGTCGGCTCTTTGTTGTGGCACTCAGGATCTCCGGTTGCTCCTGGCCATGAGGGATCTTAGTTCCTCGACCAGGGATCAAACCCGTGTCCTCTGCATTACAAGGCAGATTCTCAACCACTGGGCCATCAGGGAAGTCCCGCATGCTCAGGTGCTTTGGACGTGTTATCTCATTTCCAAGCTCTGCAAGGTCAATTTGATTCTGACATTCACAGTATACATTTGAAAATCCTTGACCAGGGATCAAACCTGTGTCCTCTGCATCACAAAGCAGATTCTCAACCACTGGACCACCAGGAAAGTCCCGTATGCTCAGGTGCTTTGGATGTGTTATTTCCATACCTTCACACAAGCTCTGTGAGTTCAGTTTGATTCTGACATTCATGAGAATAAATTTGAAAACATGGTGTCAAGACCTTCATTACCTGACTGGTTGTCCCTGAGTGGAATCATTTTCTCTCTCGGGGTCCTTGATCTCTTTCAGGAAATAAAAGAGATGGACCAGAAGTAAGGTCCCATCAGCTTCAAGTTCCTGTGAATTATGAAGGCACGCTGTCACCCAAGCAGCCGAGGTGGTTCTAAGCCCATTGAAGGGCACAGTGTAAATGGGTGATCAGTACATCCAGGAACAAGAAATTATGCACGAAGAGGGTTACTTAGTTTTTACTTGAAGACTTGGGGTTTAAATTCACCCCAACGGGAAACATGGAAGGTGAGAGATTGTCTTGAGAAGAGAAAGGAGTCTGGCAACTTCAGGCCCAGGAAGGAGCAGCCCATAGAGGTCAGAGGGATAAGAAGACTCCGGAGACTGGTCCCCAACCTAGTCTGCCCTCTGCCTATCCTGGACTAGTGAAGATAGTCGGCCTAACACACCTGTCTCTTTGTCAGCTGCACAGTTGACACTTTCTCCAGAACCATTTGGTGCAAGAAGAGAGCTTTATAGACTTTTTCCCAATAGATTTGCTTGGAAACTGAGCACCAGAGGTAACATGACCTGCTCACAGTAACAGAGCCATCTAGAAAGCAAATCTCTTGGCCACTGATTCATACTCTGGATAATGGATCAGTATACTGGGCGCTGGGTGTGTCCTCTCCATGTGCCCTTTTCAGAATGCACCCTACAGGAGGTGTACCCACTGGTGGTTCTTCTATTTTTTAAAATAATGATGGTAAAGAAAACCTTTTAACTTTTCATAAATATGAATTTGGGGCATAAGAACAATCCTAATTCAGTTAAACAAACTTTATTCATACTAAGGGAGCCAGATCAAAGACCTAGTACTAAACTCGATGACTTCTGATCAAAAAAGGAAGAAAACCAGTGTTCCTCAGACACTATTAACATGTTTAGTAAGAAGGACCCTTCTCAGCTCCGACCTGAGGTTTGCGCTTAATGATGGCTCTTGGTTTCGGTTTCAGTATCTGACAGAATAGGATATTTCTTGGAAATTGCAGGTGGAGTCTTGGAAATAAGGATAAGAGACTTGGAGTTAGACAGCCTTAGGCGCAAGACTCACATTCATATCCTGCATTACTCAAGGCAAGTTATTTAAATTTTCTGAGCCTCGGATTCATTTTGGGGGGACAATAATAACCTCTACATAAGAATGTTTTAAGGACTACATTCAACAATGTGTATATTGTTTTAGTAAAGTGTCCAGCACAGAATAGATGGACAGTATATGATGTTTACAATTTTGATGCTAATGTTCAGAAAGTCATGTAGAATCAAACATTGACCCCTTAACTAGAAATTTCAAGATAATCTCTCACTGGTCAACAAAACTACTTCCTTCTCTTCCAACTTCTCTTCAAACCAGGTTCAAATGATAATACGGCTGCAATTCAGACATATCTTGCAAATTGATCTCCATAAAGCATGGCCCATGCTCATCCAAATGACCAATCCCTTTGGAAATTGAGACTTCATTTCCATTTTCCAAATGAATGCTGTTTTTCAGTACCTGGAATGTCATGGTATTTAAGGTAGCTCAGCCATAGAAGATAAATATGGTATTTATTTGCCAACCATCTAATGACATAAAGAGGGGCAAAAATTCCTATCATTCAAGTCTTGAGCTCCCCAACTTTGTGGGCTGGTCTCAGGTGTACTGCAGGAGAGTTACTTAAGGTGTTTGGAAGACATGCTGATTTCCAGGCTCCAAGGCCAGACATTCCAATATAATCTGAAATGAGACCCAGGAATCTGCATTACAAATAAGTGAGTGATTCAGATGTACAAGGCTGAGAACCACTGATCTCAGTAAAGGGTTATTTTTCTATGTATATTGTATTATACTTTCTCACCTATTCTCCATCTGTTTGAATGTAATATGTACACCATTAAATCACAGGGAGATTGGGAGAAAGGACAGATGATATTTTTTATCCTGATCTCATAGCTCAAAATTTATTTATAGCTCTCAAATCCCAAAATTTATATTTTGGGATTCTCACTACACTAGATGTTATGAAAATTTCTCCCTGCTTTTCAGACAGCCTTGGATTCCATAAAAATGCACTTAGTATTTAAGATATCAGTAAAGCTTTCATACTTTAAAACAGAAAAAGGCAAATCAGATTCATCTGGTGCAGCACAAACAGCTGATCGGCAGGGGCTGCCTGGAACACCAGGGCACTCTTAAGAGAAGTCTCACTCAGGGAGAAGGCATGCCAGGTTTGATTAGTGATGTCTGGCATGGGTACAGTTGCTGGTATGTCAGAAACAGCTACTTCCTTCCAGCTCTACTTCAAAGTATATTAACACCAGAGGAGGAAGAGTATTCAAAATCGATTAAAGGGGGATATTTACATTTAAAGTTTCCATTCATACTTCAGTTGAGAGCTTGTCTTTTATTCTTTTTTTTTTTTTCCTATCCAACTTAAAGGTGCATTCAGGAATCTGTGTGTTCCTGATCCAGATAAAGTTGGAAACAATCTGAATTAAGAACAGCAAATTCTGGGCTTCCCTGGTGGTCCAGTGGTTAAGAGTCTGCCTTGCAATGCTGGAGACCCAGGTTTGACCCCTGGGTCAGGAAGATTCCCAGAGAAAGGAATGGCTACCCGCTCCAGTATTCTTGCCTAGAGAATTCCATGGACAGAGGAGCCTGGCAGGCTATAGTCCATGGAGTCGAAAAGAGTTGAACACCACCGATCAACTAACACACAGTTTGAATGCAAGGGACACAGTTTCGATCCCTGATCCAGGAAGATCCCACATGCCGCAGAGCAACAGCCTGTGCACTACAACTCCTGAAGCCCGTGTCCTAGAGCCCATTCTCTGCAACAAGAGAAGC